AGGACAACAAATTTTTTCCTATTATACCCTTATTTACACTTCTTGAAAAATTGTAAAAGTGTATGTTGTTTCCCTCCAATTTATTTCACTTGAATTCAAATAAGTGGTTGTAATTTTGAAGTGAAAAGTTGTCATAAGGGTAAAATTGTAACTTCACTGTGCTAATCATTGTTGCCTTAATCTGTGTGCCATTTCTAAAGTGGACAACTAAAAAGGGACGGAGGGAGTAGGTAATAAATAACAAAAAGATTCTTCTTTTCAAAAAATTCAATAATATTTATCTATGTACAATATTGATTGAAAATTTGAATATGTACATTTCAAATAATTAAATTAAAAATGTAATTAAAGTTTCTGTATTAGATGTTTAAAATAGTTTCTCTCTATAAAATAATCTTAATATTAAAAGCATATCGATACTTGCCCTTTTTCGTAATTTGACTCTCAAAAGCACTTTTTAAAAAAAATTAGTCAAACACAAATTGCTTATCAAAAATACTTTTCAAATGAATTTGCCAAACACAAATTGCTTTTTTTGAAAAGCACTTTTCTAAAAAGCTATTTTAAAAAGTGCTTATAAAAATAAGTTTTTTTAGCAGCAATGCCAAACACGCTCTAATTCAATAAGTCGACAGATAACACTTCGTGTAGATGGTTGTTTTCTTTTCGAAAGCATGAACACATAGTCACAATTTCAGTCCCTACTAAAGCAATTGTGTCCGATCTCTATTCATAAATGACATTTTCGCATAGTCGCATGACTATGTAATTACTTCTCAGGATTATAAATAGTATATAATATAACATAAAATTAGATTTTTCAAAAAATAATAATAAAAAATTACCGTTATAAATATGTTTAATTATACTGGGAGGGGATTTAGCTTAATAAGGGAGTATAATATAAGATTAAGAAATGGACAAACATAAATTGGGGAAGTTTAACGACCAATAACCACCATCAACGGCAGGTTAGTAGGGATTTTTTACTATATGAAGAAAAGACAGAAAAATGACATACAAAAGATTTGCATGGATGGGTCCATTTCTGCCGACAAGTTTGTCTTTTCACTTTAAAGTGCTCAAGGGTCATTCACTTACAAAAATACAAAGCCATGCAAATTGTTAATTCAATCACTTTGAGCCAATTGACTTATTTATCTAAATATTTTTTGTATTCGTATGGAACCCAATTAATTCGGATTAATGTCGTGTAGGGCCTCATTTAGAAAAAAACGCTTTCTATCAAAGATTTTTTATATTCAATGTTCGAATTCAAAACTTCTAATTAAGGTGGATTCAAAATAATATTTATACACTGATAAGATAGGGTAAAGATTTTTTATTTCATATTATGTCACCTTTGCTCGGCGACAATAGTTATGTTATTTTATTATTTTTAAAATTACAAATTTCGCGTGCCTAGTTGTAAATATTTAAATGACATGCATGATAATATATAAAACAAAATTAACTCATATATATTGGTAGTGTAATTATTTTTTACATCATTAGATTACTTTTACTTGTTATAGTAATTCATGTGTCTTGTTTTTAAAATTAAATTCTACATTTTAAAAAAAGTTTACCAGTAAATATAGTATATTTTACACAAATTCCATAGTGTTAAGAGCTAATTACATCTTATCTTTACTCTTTTTCAAATTACAAAAATTCCTTCAAATTTAAGGATTTTGGATATATCACTCAACATCCCGATACATTGCGTTCCGATTTCGGATACATCAGTCAACGTCTAGATACATCACGTCCCGATTTCAAATACATCACTCAACGTCTGATACATCGCATCCCGATACATTACCTTTGTTGACACAAGACACATCAGGATACAACACTCAACGTCCCAATACATTGCATCCCGATATTTTATCTTTATTGATACAACACACATGCCCCAATACATCGCGTAGGAGTAATGTTTCTATTTCAATGACGACCTAGTATTAAAAATGATGAGATAAAGTAAGTTGTATATTTAGGAAATTAAATTTAGAGATAAAAAATAAGTTGTATATTTAGGTAATTTTTTTGTAAATGTAACTATTTCAATGACCTAGTATTAACAATGATAATATTATATTTATATATAAATATACATAACTTTGCCGGCTCTATTAAACTTAGTTCTTAATGGACATCTACTACTATGCTATAAAATAAATTATTATATAATTAAGGAAATAAAAAGTACATATGTTACCTTGATCATTTGCTTATTTCAAATAGGGAGCGGATAAATTTTTTTTAAAAAAATCATTTTAATTCCAACTATAGGGCGTTCTTTAGTCCTTTCTTCTTCTTTTTTGGTAATTCCAATTTCGTCGTCGGCAAAACATAAAAAAGTAATGGAGGACGTAAGAATTCATGTCGTTTTCTTAGATATTTTACTTATTATTATTAATCATATATTAGTAGGTGCCCCATGTTGCTTTCTAAAATACTTTTACTTATTAGATACTAATAATTAATCATATATCCGTCAACCTTTATTGCAATTATTTAAAAAGACAAACCGTGACAAGAAAGAATAATCTTCTCAAAAAACAAATTGGTCACTCATATTATCCCTCATGGTAAAAGTGATTAGGGTTCCAATCGCATGCATAATTGAACTTGAATTAACTTACATATACTAACAAAATTTTACACTATATATTATAAATTATAATGGGCTGTTTGTTGATAATTAATTTCATATATTACGCATAATTACTTGTAACTTGTAATTATCTATTAAATAATTTAATCTTGATTGTTTTTTTTTCCACATTATTTGTATATAAAAGTTAAACCCCAATCAAAATTAGATTTGACAAATATTGACATTGAAATTTGAAAAGCAAAGCTGAGACGACCTTGACACCATTAAGAATAAAAAAAAATGAAGTGCACGTGGAGGATTAATGTGATGGAAAAGCCAATATTTCATCTACATTTTCTCCTCTATATATACTTTACATTGAGCTCTCCATTTTGCATTGCCAAATACTTATTCTAGCTAGTAATATTATTACTACAAATTAAAGAATTTAATTAGGCCAAAAAAGATGGGCTTATTCGACATATCGCATTTAGTTATTTTTTCTCATCTAATAATTGTTTTAGTTTGTTTCATTTGCCCAAGCTTTGGTTACAAACCTAAACACTTCAATTTGTCCACTCATGCTACTCACTGGGGGACGGCCGGTGCTACTTGGTATGGCAGCCCCCATGGTGCTGGTAGTGACGGTAACTTCCTTTCTCTCTTTTACGTCTCAACATGCCTTCTCACGTATGCGAGTTTTTTTTTTCCCATTTTTGAGTAGCGGTGAAATTTGAACCCAAAGCATTTGTTTTCTATGATACCATGTTAAAGTCTGAGAAAGAAATACATTTTTAATGACTTATATTCAAAAAGAATGTGTTCTTTCCTTTTTTGACAACACTTTAATTTTAACTTTCTACGTGACATGTTTAAGGCCACAAAATGAAAGAACATTTTGGTACAACTTTATTTTAGGTCCATAACATTAAAGAATCTTATTTATTTTCATAAACTCTGTGTTCAGTCAAAGTAAACCATTCTTTTCAAAAACGAGAAAAAAATATATCTCAACATTGTAATTCCTCTCAGTCACACTAAAGCCCTCCCATTGCACTTACTAATCGACTTTTTTCAATCACAATTTTGTGGGAGAAAAGGATGGCAACTATATATTCTGAAAGTTTACCTGTTATAACAAGTTATACATATATATAGTATTGTAAATAAAAATTTACGTTACCACTATATAATATTTATGGGTGCAGGAGGATCTTGTGGATATGGGAGTGCAGTATCACAAGCACCTTTCTCTTCCTTTGTTACTGGAATCGGTCCATCCCTTTATAAATCTGGAAAAGAATGTGGAGCTTGTTACCAGGTTCTTTCCTTCCCCTTAATAAATTAATCCTAAACACACGAGTTTTATAAATATTCCAGTACTTCATTAGCAATAATAAATATGTGTGATACAGGTGAAATGTACAAAGAAGATGCATGGATCGTGTTCAGGCAAGGGAGTAAGAGTGGTGATAACAGATTTTTGCCCAGGAGGACCTTGTGTGGCTCAATCAGCACATTTTGACTTAAGTGGAACTGCATTTGGTTCAATGGCTATACCTGGACAAGAACAAAAACTCAGAGATGCTGGTGTCTTGCAAATACGTTATGCTAGGCATGCAAATTACACCTTACTCACATTTTTACTCTCCTTAATTAGGATCATATTTTATTATTTTAAAAATTTTCAGGGTGGCGTGTGATTATTCAAGGAAAAACATAGTGTTCCACGTTGATCAAGGTTCAAACTCGGAGTACTTTGCAGTTGTGATAGAATTTGAAGAAGGAGATGGTGATCTTGCTAAAGTTGAATTGAAGGAAAAAATAAGCAGCATTACAAAGAATTCTAAATGGAGGCAAATGCAGCAGTCTTGGGGTGCTGTTTGGAAACTGGATGCTGGCTCTGAGTTACACCCTCCCTTTTCTATTCGATTGACTTCACAATATTCTGACCAGATATTAATAGCCAAGAATGTGATTCCTACTGGTTGGCAGCCTGGTGCTACGTATCGATCCCTCGTCAATTATAGAGTTTAAGTTTTATGTATTAGTTACGTATGTATTTCGCTTGAAAGATACTACTAGTAAAATATGCAATCCACATTTCCTATTGTTCACCACCTGCGGCCAGACCAAAGATGGTCTCGTGCTAAGCATAATATTATATATATGGAAGTATGTGTTTGTATGAATTATAAATGTGTGATTTAATATATGTCAGTTGTACTTAGTCAAGTATTCACTTCCCTGTCTTTTTTTTATATTCATTTCATTTGTCAAGTAACTAAAATGGCTCATTGTGTAAAGTGAATTTGGGACAATCTGTAGAGGTATAAGTCCTGGTTTTTCACCTTTATGAGTCAGGTGTTTTCCTTATAAAACATTATGTTCTTACTTTACTGAACAGAGATTGTATTTGAAACATTCAAAATTCTCAACAATAACAGTGTACAAAAAGTAAAAATGCATGGACAGCTGTCCACTAGTACAAATTACAGGCCAAAAGAGATGGATAAAAAGAAGACAATTTTTTTTTTAACAAAAATGCATCAAAAAGCAAGTCCTTATATTGCAGACTCCTGTAAATAATTAAAATTAAAATTTGCTTGAGAACTTGCTATCAAGAAGCACAGGGATTGTGGTTGAATCTTCAAAATAAACCATTATGCCTTTAGTAGCCTCTGTTGCAGCTTCTAAATATTCCTCCAGTCTGCTAGACACATAATGCATGGTTGGCCTATTAGTAGAAGAGGGTGAGCAACAACTGATTGCTAATCTTACATATTTTTCCACCAATTCACTATCATAGGTTCCATCTAGCATGGGGTCAATAACATCGGCAACATCACCAGTAGTAAGAGAATTACCAACCCATTGAGTTATGTGACAGTTCTTGCTTGTTACCACAGGAGGCTGCCCTGTGATGAGTTCCAAAAGCACGACTCCGAAGCTATAAACATCACTCTTTTCATGCAATTTCTGTAAATGAGCATACCTGCAACCCAAAAATGGTGTCTTCCGTGAGGATTTAATTCATGATAACTAGACGGTCAAAGAGTTCTTATACCACCAATCAATATGATATCACAAAGTTACTTACCATGATCATACCAAAGAATGAATGTACAAGATGAATGATGATTATAGAAACTACTTACTCTGGATCAAGATAACCGATAGTGCCAACAACTGCAGTTGACACGAAAGAGCTCTCATCTACAGAAAAAGCTCTAGAAATTCCAAAATCGGCAAGTTTTGCGTGGAAGTTATCATCTAATAAGATGTTGGTACTCTTAACATCTCTGTGGACAATAGGTGGCGTGCAACCATTATGCAGATAATCCAAACCTAAGAAGTTTTACATACACATAATAAATCCAACTCATTAATTTCAGTAAAAAGATAAAGCAAAGACCAAGATGGGAAAAATGAATAGAAACAAAAAGAGTTATTACAATTTCGCATACATATATGGTTTTATGTTCAAAATTATGTCCTCCACAAATCCTTGGACAAAAGCTTATCATTCATAATAAATTAGGAAGAACACACCACGACGCAGGTAGAAGAGAATAGACAGAAATACAACGCATTAGGCAATCCATCTTTTAGGGCATAACATTCAATCTTATCGTAATATATGCTAGCTCCTCCAAGGCAAGAAAGTGGATATGACTTTATCTTGATGGAATATACCAAGTTAAATCTTCTATTTTAGAACCACAACCTAGTGAAGTAGGCAACAATTGCTACTAGGGTCTGTCTCAAGAAATTGGCTTTCGACAGAAAAAGGATTCCCTTTCTAAGCATGTGAGACATGCAAGAAGTTGAGCAACTCAAACATAAGACCAACACTACCAAAGATGTTTGCTTACCTTCTGCTCCATTCAGGGCCACCTGAAGTCTCTCTATCCAAGTCAATGATTTTGGACCTATACATCAGCAAATTAAATTGTTTTAATACATTCCCCTGATGCATCAGAAATTGTGATTTATATGTTGAACATCAAAACAAGCTGAAGAATTATTTAGACATTTTCGGGTTGAACATCTCCAATTAAGAGAATATAAAGATAGAAATAGTAGTATTTCTCTTTCAAGATTTGAAGTCATGTTGGTTATGAAACAGACGGAAACTAACTAATCAAAAGAAAATGAAATATCTTTGAATAACCACATATTCCTCTGTTTGAAGATTGTCCATGACCAAAAAATTTATCATATTGTTGTCTTAATGGAAACAGAAAAAAATAAACCTTACTAATTAGTTAGTGAGATAAGTTTAAACAGATAAAGAAGACTAAAGCATGAAAATTGCCAAATTCTCACCATTGAGATGCTCTTTTACAGTCCCATTTGCCATGTACTCGTACACAAGCGCCATATAAGCACCTTCATAACAATACCCAACAAGTGAAATCAAGTTTCTGTGATGAACTCTTCCCAATAGCTCAGCCTACAAAATCATAGACATATATATGGAATTAGTTCTAAGCTTTCAGTAAGTCTATACAGATCCTACAAATTGTTGTAATATATAGTGAGAGGTCATAAAAGAGTTCATGAATTCAATAGGGCCAAGTTTGAAACCTCAATCTGAAATTCCTTGTATCCTGTCTCAGCAAGCATCTTCACAGCAACTTCTTTGTTGTCCAAGTAGCCATGGTATACTAATCCAAATCCACCTCTGCCTAAAATCTTCTCAAAGTTGTTGGTCATACTCACTATTTTAGTGTATGAAAAACGTTGGCTTCTTGAGTCAAAAGAATCGACCCTTTTATCCCCTGATCACAGTAGCATTGTCCTAATTTAGTGCAAAATTCTTCATCTTGAGTATGACTAGACTAAAGAGACTTTCACACCGCATACCTTTGCGTTTGGTGAAGTAACAGATGGTGATTACCACAATCAAGAGCATCAACAGTACAGCTACTGATGCAACTACTGGAATAGAAAGCTTCTTTTTTGTACATTGAGCTGATTGACAATGATTCTTAATGAGGGGTATGAATCCATCCATGCTGTTGAAAGTAGGTGTGTTACTCCAGCATAGGCTTAAATCAGAAGTTAATCTCTCGATTTATATTAATGAGATATTCAGTTAATTGAATCAACAAAAAATGATGTACAAACAGCAAACTATTTCTGAACTAGAACAACATTGTTAGACTTGGCACTTGAGCAAGAAACCAATCCAAGCGAAAGTTCATTAGCCACTAACAGGATCAATATCTCCCTCTGCCTGAATCTAATGCAGTCAGAAGCACCTTAAACCAGAAACATACTTTAAAATAAAACGATGTTGTTACTTTTAGAGCTTTAGTGCATAAAATGCTGCTTGAAACAGATATCATATAAGAACACCTACTGCTGAGTACCTGGCTAGATTTTCTTCTTTATATTTTAAAATATTTTTTTATGCTGAGTACCTGGTTAGTTGTACGTGTGGCATAAGCATAAAAAATTGGTGGGACTAGCCTTGGGCGTGAATTCTTCTTTGATAGAAGGAATGGGACAAAAGATAAGTAGAACCATATGATTCACAGGTTCAGTCTGATCTATTTTTTTATAGCCATGGTGTCTGGTCCAACTTGTGCGCACCTCAACTAATTCCACGGGATACTTGTCACCTCCCATCGGAAATAGGTATCAAGTAACTCCGTCAACCAATGCTAGGACAGATAGAAAGAAATCGTCTTATGTTTTTGTCTCCGCTGAAATTTGAACCAGAGGCCTCACGATTCTCAACCACTTCATTGACTACTAAGCCACACATTTGGGTGCTACACGTTCAATCTTATCTTCTGAATCTAAGTATCTCAAAATGGAAGAACGCACTTTTTTGGTCTCCCGATTGCATCTCCTCTCTACCAGGCAATGCTTGCAAAGCCTCATAAGGCAAATTAAGTAAAAGCCCTTGGAAAATTCCAAGGAGGAAGTTAAGATTTACGGTTACCAAACCAACAGTTCTCTGGTTCAAGATTGACTGGCATAACTACTATTTATCTTGTCGAAGTGATGGGAATAAAATATATTTCCTTTTTTTTAGTAATTTCAGACCATTTCTTGATTTGTGTGTCATTATTGAGCAGGATCCATGCTAATATTCTCTCTATCATTCAATTTTATTGGATGTTCCGGAAGGGACAAATAAAATATATTTCAGATAAGGTTTAAGTGCCCCTATATACATCCTTGTAAGGCACACAGGCTGCATAAATTGTGGTCTTCATGGTTGTGAATGGGTAACCATGGCTTGCAGAATATAAAGGTGAGTATTGCTATATGTATTTATAAGAAATTCCCATTAAACTTACTATAGTTTCCAGTAGATAATATGTTTTAGTGAGTTCTACACATTATTTGACAATGTGTAGAACATATTATCTACTGAAAATAAAGTTTTTCACAGATGAAAATACAGACATAGGGAAGATTATAATTCTCCACGTTTAAACTAGTGCTAGCTATTGATATGCTTGATATGGAAACTTATCACATACCTGAGCAATAAGGTTTCATTATTAGCCTTTTCAGCAAGTCCAAGAGGAATTGAACCCCAGAACTTGTTTCCAGTTAAGTTTCTGCCATAAAAATAGAAAACATACTTTATTCATTTGATCATTCTAATTGGGCGAATAATCATAACCAAGAGGAAGAAGGAGGTACAAATAGAACCTACAAGAATCTCAAGAACGCAAATCCAGCAAGAGAACTTGGTATTGGACCTGTTAAATCATTGTCCGATAGATCCCTGAGATTTTCAAAATCAGTTCATTCTCTTTTTGGTCAATTTTCATAGGTTTTAGTTTTTCAGGTTTAAGGAAGCTTACAAGTACTGTAAAGCAGTTAGATTTGATAGAGAAGATGGAATCTCCCCATTTAATTCACTGGAGGACAAGTCCCTGTAAAGAGGAACATTTAGCATGGTGAATTTAGAAGAATTTAGAGGTACTTTACTTTGAAAGAACCTTGAAGTGACCTTATTCCTCAATCATATTATTCTGTCAATGCCTGCACCATATATTGGACAACTCAAATGATACAAGTATTCGAAACATACAAGCCTATAATTCGTGTGGAACTGCTGGAACTGTAATTGCAGCGAAGACCTTCCCATGTGTAATCTTTCGGCAAGCATGGATCTCCTTGCCAGTTTTTCTTCACATCATAAGTTTTCTTAATATCCATAATTGCATCAACTACACTCCAAGAAAGTAGAGTAGGGATATAAATAAAAGAGAGCATGAATATAACTTGGAACATAACTCTTTAAAATTGAACACAGTAGAATCAAATTCTTTGTTAATAAACTTTTTGCCATATCAAATTATGTCAATTGAAATTACCCACAGGAAATAACATTTCTCCCCACAAAATAGTGTTTCTAAGCAAAATACTCCAATTAACTAGATACCAGCAGACAATGGACTAAAATTTAACACTATAAACTGAAAAGGGTGAAGGTGAAGGTCTTACTGTAATGACAAACTACGCATGCCTCAATCGAGATTTTAGCTTATGGCACATAGATTTTCATAATTGAAACAGATCAGACGTGCTTCGATTTACTTCTCTTTTCTTCAAATACTCAAAATTACACCACAATAAATCAGACATTTTATCGCCACAAAAACAGCAAATGTCATTACAAAGGTTGAGATCTGTTAACTAGAGTATGCAGTTAACAAGCTATCATGGTTAGCTTAGTCAGCAGTGTTAGTTAAAGTTAGTTAGAGGTAGTTAGTTCTAGAAGCTTCCTAATAGCAGGTACACATTCATGTTAAGTGTGTGCTATATAAACTCCTCATATTGTAACTAACTCTACATTTTCAATAGAAGTGTAGAATAGTGCTTAGGTTCTCAGCTGTATTTTCAGTAGAATCGTGAGTACGCATCTTCCTTATCAAACGATCTAGATCCAGAAAACAGATTGCTCATCAATGGCAGTCACAACTGAAGGTGGATCAGGGTCCTTGGAAGCTGGCAACCTCAATCCAAATTCAACTCATGTAGCTCCTGCAACCAGCTACATAGCTCCAACTATTGATCATAATCATCCTCTATATCTTCAACCTAGTGATACTCCAGGTAGCTCTTTAATCTCCCTATAGCTTACTGGCTTTGAGAATTATGCAATCTGGAGTAGATCCATGAGAATTGGACTTCTAGGTAAAAGTAAGCTAGGTTTTGTTGATGGTAGATTCCCTAAATGTAATGCTGTAGTCTTATCTTGGATTATGAATGCTGTTAGACCTGGTCTGCTGAGTAGTGTAGTATATGGGGGTAATGCTCACAAAGTATGGTGTGATTTGAAGGAAAGATTTGATAAGATCAATGGTGCACATGTTTTCCAATTACACAGAGAGATTCATAGTCTTACTCAAGGTACAATGTCTGTTACAAACTACTATACTACTCTGAGAGGATTATGGAATGAGTTTGACTCCATTATGCCATGCCCAGGGTGTTCATGTGCTGAGTCTGTCAAGTTTAAGGAACACTTTGAATATCAAAGGCTACTGGACTTTCTTATGGGGCTTAATGAGTCCTATTCTGCAGCTAGAGGTCAGATTTTGATGCAGACTCCAACTCCTACCTTGAACAAAGCTTTCTCCCTTATTGTTGATCACGAGAGTCAGAGGATATTGCCTCATGATAGTGCTAATTCCAGAGTGATTGAAAGCACAGGTATGTTCAGTCAGAAAGGTAGTAATGGTCCTACTCCTACTATCAACTATGGTGGAGCTCACTTTGGTATGCCTCCAGGGGAGGATGATCAGCCAGGAAGAGGTCACTATAACAACCAACATAAGCCTCTCCTTATATGTGAAGTGTGTGGATACAGAGGTCACACTAAGGATCAATGCTTTAAGGTTAAAGGATATCCGGTTGGTTGGAGGTCTAAGAGGAAGGGTGCTAATAGTGGTTCCTATGCTAACAGTGTTGATGTTGTTCAGTCTGCAGGTATGAATACAAGCACATCTCATAATAACATTGAAGCCACCAACATGATTCCCTCATCCCCTGCTGCTTTCTTCACACAAGATCAATACAATCAGATCTTGCAGATGTTGTCCAAAGGCAATGATAATGGAGGAGAACATGCTACTAAAGCTGCAGCTGAGTAGTTCTATTTCTGCCTTAGTGTCACAATATGTCCATAAGGAGTGGATAATTGATACTGGAGCATCTAATCACATGACCTCTCAGCTTGGACTCTTAGATAAAGTCAAAGTAGTACCAAAATCTGAAAGGAGACAAGTTAATCTACCTGATGGAGATGTAGTTTCAGTGTCTCATGTTGGTACCACTAAAATTAACAGTGATTATACTATTGAGAATGCCCTGTTTATACCTGATTTTAAATGCAACCTTCTCTCTCTCTCACAACTTACCAAAGACCTTAATTGTCTGGTTGTGTTCTTTCCTGAATTTTGCATCTTTCAGGATCTCTCCAATGGACAGGTCAAGGGGATTGGTAGAGAAGATCAAGGTCTCTATGTTCTTAAAGAAGGTCTAAGCAGTCTATCTCCTATTCAGTCAACAACAAGTTGTGCTAATTCAGCTGGTTCTTCTGAGCCTATCTCCTTGTGGCATAGGAGATTAGGTCATGCTCCTCTATATGTAATAAAAAGGTCTTCTAGTATTAGCCTTACAAATATTGCAACTTCTAATCCTTGTATTGTTTGTCCCTTAGCTAAACAATCTAAACTTTCTTTTCCTATAAGCACTCATTTGTCTAAGTCTGTATTTGAATTAGTTCATTGTGATATTTGGGGTCCTTAGAGGATACCTACTCACAATGGAATATGAGGTACTTTGTAACCATTGTTGATGATTTTTCAAGATATACATGGGTGTTTCTTATGACTTATTGGTTTTTTAATAAAGAAATAAAGAAAATAATAGAGAAAGACTTTGAGAGAAAAAATACTGCAGTATTATCAAAGGGAATTATTTTATTAATAATTCAAAGACTTGCATTTATAGATATAATTCCTAACTAAAAATAGAAAAATAAGACACTAACTTATCAGCTTAATTCAAATAACAAATAAAAAGAACTAACTCCTAAATATAAGTCAAATAGGACTCTAATAACATAATTTAAAAATCCTAAAAATAGCTAACTGTTTTATTTCTGCAATATCATGAGACATATTCTCAACATGACTTCTAAGTCTGATACAATAGTGGTGCTGAGGAATTTTTTACTGAAGTTAAAAACCTGTTTTCCACCAGCATTATAACTCTAAGAACTCATAATGGGAGTGAGTTTTTCAGTCATGCTTTTCAGTCACTTCTGTCTACTCTTGGTATTTTTCATCAGAGTACATGTGTCTACACTCCACAACAAAATGAGTTGCTGAAAGGAAGCACAGAACAATCCTTGATATGGCAAGAGCCCTTAGGTTCCAAGCTTCTATTCCTTTAAAATTCTAGGGGGAATGTGTTCACATAGTTGTATATCGACTCAATAGACTTCCCTCAAAATTGTTGAACTTTAAAACTCCTTTTGAGATGCTCTATGCACAACCACCTTCCCTCTCTCATGTCAAGACCTTTGGATGTTTATGCTTTGCTACTTGTCCCAAACTTCTCGACAAATTCTCTCCTAGAGCTATTCCTGTTGTTATGATGGGGTATTCTTTAATTCAAAAGGGTTATCTCTTGTATGATTTGCACTCAAAATCTTTGTTTGTCAATAGACATGTTATCTTCAAAGAGGAAGTGTTTCATTTCAAGGATCTCCAAGTCTCATCTAATCCTATTTTTCCAGTCCTAAGTGTGGCTCCTCCTGATCATTCTCCACTACATGTTCCTATACCTGCAGAAATCCCTCTTGCCTTATCCAGCCCCTCACCCTCTTTTTCATTTCCTAGTACATCTTGCTCTCCTGGCTCTCCTGTTAGCTCAATTGAGCCTCCTTCTAGTGATCTTGTTGTTCCTCCAAGAAAGTCCTCTAGATCAAGTAAGCCTCTCCTATGGCTTCAGGACTTTGTCACTAACAAAAAGAGTAACTTATGTTCCTTCCCCTTGTCTGATCACCTGTCCTATGATCATGTGTCTCCTTTGTATGCTGCCAGTCTATCTGCCTATTCAGTTGTCACTGAACCCTCCTCTTATAAGGATGCAACACTTGATCCTCAATGGGTTCAAGCTATGGCACTTGAGATTTCAGCCCTGGAAGCTAATCACACTTGGAGCCTGGTGGACTTCCCCCCCGATAAGAAGCCCATTGGTTGTAAATGGGTCTGTAAGGTTAAATATAAGTCCACATGAGAGGTTGAGAGGCTGAAAGCCAGGTTGGTTGCTAAAGGCTTTAGTCAACAGGAGGGCTTAGATTATGGTGAGACCTTCAGTCCAGTTGCAAAGATGGTCGCTGTCAGGTCAATAGTGGCTCTGGCTGCTTCTAAAGGCTGGTTCATTCACCAAATGGATGTCCACAATGCTTTTCTTAATGGAGATCTTCTTGAAGAGGTGTACATGACCATTCCTGCTGGGTTTGCTAGACAGGGGGAGAATGGTACTAAGGTCTGCAAACTACACAAGTCACTATATGGTCTCAAACAAGCCCCTAGACAGTGGAACTTAAAGTTGACTGAGTCCTTAACTCAGATGGGTTTCTGTCAAAGCCATTATGATTATTCACTCTTTACCAGGCAGGTTGCAAGTGACATCCTTATTGTGTTGGTGTATGTAGATGATCTACTGGTAACTGGTAGCAATCAGAGTCTTATAAATGACACAAGAAGGGATCTTCAAAAGCAGTTTAAGATGAAAGATCTAGGTGAACTCAAGTTTTTTCTAGGAATTGAGTTTACTAGATCTAGTAAAGGAATTCATATGTCTCAAAGGAAATATGCACTAGAACTAATAGTTGAATGTGGTCTAGGGGGAGCAAAGCCTGCAGGAACACCTCTTGAGCAAAATCAGAAACTAACCTCTGTCAAGTATGACGAGTGCATATTACAAACAAATGAGCCTATGATGCAGGATCCAAGCAGATATCAGAGACTGGTGGGGAGATTGCTTTACCTCACAATGACTAGACCTGACCTAGCATTTCCAATTCAGGTGTTAAGTCAATTCATGCACTGTCCTAAAGAATCTCATATGGAGGCAGCACTAAGGGTGGTTAGATACTTAAAAGAATCCCCAGTTCTTGGACTGTTAATGCCAGCTGAAGATACAACTGAATTACTTGCCTATTGTGACTCAGATTGGGGAGCATGCCTTGAAACTAGGAGGTCTGTTACTGGTTACCTAGTTAAACTTGGAGGAGCATTGATTTCTTGGAAGTCAAAGAAACAAGAAACAGTTTCTAGAAGTTCAGCTGAGGCAGAATTTAGAAGTATGGCAAACTGTGCAGCATAGATCACTTGGCTAGTGGGGCTATTCAAAGAACTTGGTGTTTGTATTGAATTACCTGTGAAGATGATGTGTGACAGTAAGGCTGCAATCCAAATTGCAGCAAATCCTATATTTCATGAAAGATCTAAACATATCGACATAGATTGTCATTTTGTAAGGAAGAAAATATGTCAAGGAATGCTGAAGACAGAGTTCATTTATACTAAGGATCAGTTGGCTGACTTGCTCACAAAAAGCCTGGGTAAAGTCCAACATCAAGTGTTGTTGAACAAGACTAGAGTTGCTAACCTGTTTAAACCATGAGCTTGAAGGGGAGTGTTAACTAGAGTATGCAGTTAACAAGCAATCATGGTTAGCTTAGTCAGCAGTGTTAGTTACAATTAGTTAAAGCTAGTTAGAGGTAGTTAGTTCTAGAAGCCTCCTAATAGCAGCAACACATACATGTTAAGTGTGTGCTATATAAACTCCTCATATTGTAACTAACTCTACATTTTCAATAGAAGATATTTTTTCTGTTCAATTACTTCTTCTTCTGCATAACTCAAAGCTCCATTAATGGAGATTATCAAGATCAACCTTCCACACAGTGCAATATGCAGACGAATACGATACTACTTTTTTATGATTAGATGTTTAAATTAGATCATGAATATCATTTCCCCAAATTTTTCAAGTAAATCGTTGTCCAAAAAAAGGGTAATAGCGACTAGGGCGTTAGAACAGTATACGCACCATCATTTTCATCAGTATGAACCTTGAAGAACCGTTTGGCAGCATAAACCTCAAGCGCGTTAATAAGAGGAGGCAATGTCGAATTGTTGGTTTGACGCAATGTATAGTTAAAATTGCTAGCCATTCGCTTGTCGTTCATCACAAAAGTGGTCAAATACTCTGGCTCCAATTCCTCCCAGGAGACTGTTTCACTATTAATGATGACATCAAATTTTCTGGTCTGATTAGGCAAAAGGCTCACTATTTCAGCAAAATACAAGTAGGTATGGTAGTCAATATTGGGATCTGCAGGACCCCAAGAGAGAGTCCAGGTAGTAGAATTCAGTGGCGTTGCTGCCGTCCCCATAGCAAGAGTTGGTGGGTAAAAATCGTTCTCGATATCTCTGTCGACTTCTCGTCTTGTGGAAACAATATCCCATTCTGGAAGTTGAAGAGCTTCCCAAATTCGATCATAAGCGTCAAAGCTATATCTGCAGCAGACGAAAGAGAAACTATTGATTAGATTAGAATATAATTTTGGGTTCTTAACTCTCGTGTTTATGAACTACTATATAGTCTATAGAGGTGAAGTTAATTAAGCACACTTCCATTTTTAGTAGGCATAGAAAATTTTGTTAGATATGCCAGCCAAGTTCTAAAGTTTAGAAACTTTGATATCACAAATTTAAAATTGAAATTGTAAGTCCAGAACGTCATATTATTTATAATCAAGTAATATTACACGATGATTAAGTTAATTATAATATCTAAAATCATATGAAAATATATTATTATTTATATACGTAAATTTGATATTTTCCATCAGAATTTTAAATTAAACGATATAAACAGACTTAAAATCATGATTTAAAATTGGATACCCAAATGGCATCTTGGTCTGTCAAAAAAATGGAAAGTTTTATTTTTGTTTATCATGATAAGGTCATGCACCACCTTTAGAAAAAAATTAATCAAAAGTGTTAATTGATTAATTTATTCCTTATTAATTCTTCAATTTTAATCTATTTATGTGTCTCTTAATTCTAGAATAATTAATGCTAAGATAAAGTTGAAAAAAATATTCTCTTGATTTTTGTATTGACAAGTACTCCTATTCAGAAATAACTAAAATGAAAAGAGAGTATCATATTTCTATATTTAAAAAAATATAACTTTAGACTTCTCATTTACATTTAACACATAAATATTTAAGACATATTTTAAATCATATATTTTAAGAAGTCTTCATTTCTTTGTTAAATATTATGCCTAATCAAAATGATGTTATTACAAATAATTTTAGACACATTAAAAAAGTCAAAAGTCGTATACCATACTCCTATCCAATTGGATACCCAAAAACTATGTCAAAAGGAGAAAAAGTAACATAATTTTTATAGCATAAGGAGTAAATATTTGAAACACCACAAATTGGTCCTCTCATTGTTAAATGTCTCAAATTTGAATTTTAGATATTGAAAAACAATGTCTCAAATTTGAATTTTAGATATTGAAAAATCTTTGATAGGAAATTTGGACCGATTAACATGGTCAATTGGATCCATTAAGGCACTTGGGTTTTGAATCCCAAAATGAAAGAAATGAAGAAGCAATAATTTTAATTTTACCTCAATGGCGCAGTACCGGAAACAAAATTGTAACGCATTTTAAGCTCCAGCGATATGTCATATTCAGAGGGATACATTGTATTTCTGAATCGTCGTAGCTCCAGCGCTGAAATAAAAGGTGTCCCGTTGCCCGTATTTACGAGGCATACGTTCGTATAATTCGTAGAAAAAACATGTATAATCTCCTTTGTGACTACATGAGAGGAATTATCCAGTTGAATTGTGTCCCAAAGCTCAGTACCAATATGCAAATCAAACTTTGGTACATGACTTTTATTATCATAGTTACCATACATGAAAAAGGCACGTACTAGAAATTTGCTATCTTTGTCTTTAGATGATCTTAGATTGTAGCAGTTCCTTTTCCCTTGTGGAAAGCTTCTAACAGTCTCTAAGTAAATTTCTGTATCATTGGAAATGAATTTAGGCAATAGACGTGCATTTACACCCGTGTTTATGAACATTTCATCGCTCGTGTAAGTTACTGGAAACATACTGCCAGTATAGGTTGAGTTTTCTGGTAATCCACAATCGATACTCACGAATCCTGAAAGAAGAAGAAAACTTTTAGCATTTTTTTAGGACAAGAAATTAAAAATTTTCAGTATTAATTAATTACCTGATTGATCATCAAAAACTGGTTGGCTGCAGTGAGTTAAAAGGGTGATAGCCAAAAGACCAAGAAGGGGAAAAAGGAAATATCTTTGTAACTTGAAATCCATGATATGGCCAAATTAAGCAGCACTTGATGGGACTTAGAAATCCCAATAATATAATGTACTAGTATAGCTAAATTCACACTATTATAATAATGCTAGTTGCAAATTTTACAAATTAAACAGCACGTTTAAGGAGGAGTGGCCTTTCCTCCTTTTAAGTAGGATTTTATAATTCAAATACTAATTCATAAGTTTATATTTTGTAAATAAAGAATCATTAATTTAAATTTTTATCAAAAAAAGAGAGAGAAGAAGAAGAGACATTCTCGTCGTGAAGAGATAGTTTGTGTCATATGAGAAGATTACATTAAGAAAAAGTACTTAGTTAATATTGTTGATTTATTGAATTAGTGAATCTTTGTAAAATTATGTGTATTTGAAAGTCTGTAATCACAAGCACTTATTTAGAAAATCCATTATAAACCATGTCCATTTTCACTTTCCTTCTGTAATGGAGAATTCTTCTCATTCTTTATGAACATAGCTAAGATTTTTCAAGTTCCTAATTTTATTTTTTTTAAAACAAAGACTTGCTCCTTGCTCTTGGTGGCTTGTTAGATTTTTGAGAATCAATTTGAGGGTGCTTCCCTTTGCAGAACAAACATTTTTTGGGACTTGCAAGATATGCTTTAACTTTTCAAACTTCTCTCCATTGTGTACATTGTTTTCATGAGAAACCTCCTTCTTTCTTAATGTCCACTCGACCAAATTAAAATCATCATCGGCAAAGTATCTTAGTTCATAATCAATTCTTGACTCGTGAATAATTTGAGTTTTGCATTTCATACATATTATTGTATAGTTGTTGAATTGAAGTGTAAATATCCCATTCATATCTAGATCAATCGAATCAATTCCACAACTATGCATACTTAAGGGACTTGTTGAATCTTGGAGACCATGATCGAGAATTTTTGTATGAGGTAGAAAGTGACCATTAGTTTCTTCATAATTGTTATCGAAAATTGATTCATCTATCACAAATTTCCGACCTTGAATCAATGTTGATGACTTGCTTCTACGGACAAAAACGTAAGAGAAATTCGGCCTGCTTGTGATTGATAGGTGGATCCGGGTTTGGATTGGAATTTAATTTATTTAGGTTAATTAATTTTCAACGAATCACAGGGTGTCACGTATTAAATGAAGACTCTAATTATATTTGCTAATGAGACCGTTTGTATAAGGGCCGTAAAGATTGACATCAAGGGTATTATGGAGCCAATAGGTTAACAAAGGGCATTTTTGTATCAATTCCAATAGTTCAAGAATATTTTAGGCCCTTTTCCGATTTATAAAATATGGATGAGATGTGTGATTTATTAATGCAATGTCTTAGGATATCAAATATAGTTTGCTCGTTTGATAAGATTATATATATAAGAGTTGACAAGTTTTTTGATAATTTTCAAAAATTATGACATTTTCATGTTTATAAATTAAAAATAAAAGCTTTTGAGATTCAAAATGCATATTCTTCAAATTAATCTAATTCAAAATCACGTCCAAACCAACTACAAAGGGAAACTCCCTGGTCGCATTCACAAATCACATCGACTACTATTGTTTGAAGGCATATGCGACAATCTTCTGCTTAGTATATTGTTAAAGAATGACAAATGTCCCACATCGGTGGTTAATGAGATGGTGGAGTCCTTATAAGGCTTGGGCAATCCTCCTCCCTTTGAGCTAGCTTTTGGGGTGTGAGTTAGGCCTAAGACCTAATTTAACATGGTATCAAAGCAGGGCCCGTCTCACCCGATGTTGGGGCCCCCAAAATCAAAATTGTCCACGCACCAGATGGTAAGCACTGGGCGTGAGGTGGGGTGTTAAAGAATGACAAATGTCCCACATCGGTGGTTAATGAGATGGTGGAGTCCTTATAAGGCTTGGGGCAATCCTCCTCCCTTTGAGCTAGCTTTTGGGGTGTGAGTTAGGCCTAAGACCTAATTTAACATATATATACTTTATCATTCTTCATATTAACTACAGTACTAATTATTTACCCCAAAAAATAATCAATTATTGAAGGTTATTATATCTTAACATTATCTTATCTAAAATAGATTTCTCAATTCAGAGGTCTCTGAATTGGCTAGGTTGAAAGCTTCTAAAAATGCTTTGACCTTTGGAAATTTGTGATATAAGTGGTGTGACATGTTGTGAAGATGTGCGAACACGCTCCCAATTTGGCCAATATTAATACAGTTCCACTTGCTTTATTGTCAAACTTTCTAATTCATTTTACTACAATTAACATGTAGATACTAAGTAGGCGTTTGATCATGCGATATCATATTACGATATGAAATCAGTATTTGAACATGCAATTTCACGCTAATTTCATCTCATGATTTCATATCATGAGATGTAATACCATATTCTCCAAAAATCATGATATGAAAATTTCATATCATGATTTGAGATTTTTTAAATACAAAAATTTACCCACAAGTTTATATTTTGTTAAAATAACCCCACATTTATATCTACTAACTATTTATTTCATATATAAATAAAATTTATAATCACATCATTACTTTTTTTAAATTATTATTCTCACCAACATAAAATTTATTATTAATTTAAATTTGGTGAATATAAATGATATAAGTAGGAATTGATTTGGTGAATATAAATAAGAACGGAGGGTGTAATACTTTTTTTGTTTTTTCATAATAATAATAAAAACTTCTCTTTCGGCTACTTATGAAAATGTTAAAGCAATTTAATATGAAAAAGGACAAAATTGGTGATGTATTTTATAATATTATTTATTTGGTAACATTGAATAAACAATTGGGGCTATTTTAATAGTTTTACAACTTATGAGATTCTTATGTGTTATGAGAAAATATACAACACAAAAATTTCATATCGCATGTCCAAACAAAACTTCATTTTCATATTATGATATCATATCATGATTTCATATCGCATGGCCAAACACTGTGAGAATATAAAATATTATGGTAAAAAATTTATTGTTGCATTAATTTTCATGGTTTATCACAAAATTACATCTGTATAATTAGGATATTAATTTAAAGCCTGAACTTGAACTGCAATTAGGCAAGTGTTATGATGTAGATCTCTTTCGCTATTTTAGGTTATGACTATGTTTTAAATACATGCAACTTATGGCTACACTTTAAATAGAAGCCCTAATGGTAGAACACATATTGGTACGCAGACGAAGGCCCAACTTGAGAGCTATTCATATTACTTTGGGCCTTCCGGGTCACTGGCTCATGCCCCAATGTATATGTTTCTTTCATGGAAAAATTACATGGATTGACAAACATATGCTATGTAATTATCATACACAACTTATGTTTCATTTAATTATCATTCCTAGCCACTACCTCATTTTAATAACTATACTTTCAAAACTATCGTATATTGAGCAATCTCCAACTTTTATTTATTCTTAAACGTTACGGCATGAATTTATACACGTGATTTAAAGATACGTAGATTAGATTGACCAAATAATAAAATTATAGCGAATTAGCATGCAAGGAATAAATAATACTCAAACAAGTAATTGAACAATATGAATTTAGATGAAAAGAGGAATTATCTTGAGCTCAGAATTCAATTTATAGGTCACATTTTATTTTTTTCAATATGTTCCAAAAAATTTATATTTAAAAATAATTTAATTTTAAAATCATTCATACTTACAAATAAGATAATTTATGGTCACATAAATATTTTAAAATTTATTTTTAAAATCATTCATTCTTATAAATGAAATAATTTATGATCACATAAATATTTTGAACTTGTTTAAATCACATGATTCAAAACCATCATTTTCTTTCTTAAATTTATGCCCAATTGAACAGTGACATATAAATTAAGATAATAAAGTTCATTTTTCGGAAGCAAATCACATTATCAAGGTTAAATTTTGGTTTCCATTAGCGAATACTGAATAGAAACATCTGGAAGAAACAGAAAAGGAACAACCCAGTAGGGCGTAGGGGTAAGAAGGTCATTTTAACAGAGTGGGGGACCAAAATTTGCACTGTGCAAAAGGGCACGTGAGCAGCAACATGCACCGGTGATCGCCGTTGCAATTATCAGTTACTTTATCTTCTGCCCCTCTCTCTCTCTCTCTCCTCTGTGCAGCTCAATTTCAGCACTGCTCCAAATAACTCCTTTTCATTCAACTCCATTTTTGCCCATTTTCAACTTGCTACTATACATTCTTCTTCCACAAGCTAGCTAGCTTCGCAAATATACTTGGAAAAATCATAAAGATCTTCACTTTCACATTCATCATCGCAGTTTTCAACAATATATATCCATCAAAAACCCATACAGTACGCATTTCCTCCATAACTAGGGTTCCTGTTCCTTTTCAGATACACAGGTGTGAAAAACAAGCTTTTCATTTTCTCTCATTGTTTACATCTTCTTCTTCTTTTTTATAGTTTTTTCTGTTTCACATGCATGTGATCTCTGTGTATGAGGTATTTGTGTGTTTGTATAGACGTGCTAGGGATGATAGTTAGGGTTTTCTTTCTTTTCATGCTTGAATTTTTTTCCAAGAAATTAAACCATCTTAGCTAGCTTGTTGTTTTCTCGGGGAAAAAAATGAAAAATGGAGTTGATCTAGGGCTAAATATAAAAACATATGAAGTTTAAGTTCTAGAAACTGGATCGATCAAGTTACTTTTGAAATCGCAACTGTTTTCATGTGTTTATGGAGTATCTTTGTAAGCTATAATCTCCAAAACAAAAACAAAAAGATTACTACTTCTTGTTTTTCGTCTTGTTTTGATATGAATATGAATTCATGAATCAGTAATCTGCGAATTTTCCGTAAGTTTACAGCTTTTTTCTGATCGATCAGTTTAGTCAAAAAGCACTGGGTTTTTTTCACTTTTTATCAGTTCGGTTAATTTGTGTTGGATGAATATACATAAATTAAATTGGCGTATAGGAGAGAAAACATGGTGAGTGTACTGGAAGACTGCGGATGGCGCAGTTCA